CAGGCCAATTAGTACCGCAACCCGGTCCGACCCGTTGAAACACGACCCGCAGCCCGACCCGTAACCCGGATTTAAAGTAATCACTTTGGGTCATATTGGCTGAATACTGAACAGCATATCGCCACAGTTAAGGTGCCAGTAAGTAAACAACGACCTGAATGAAGCAGCTCTCACAATAAAAAAACCTGACTTCAGCTCCATCATCAATCCTCTGTGTTCTTCTCCCATACGAGTGTAAAAGCACTCGTTTGTTACGTTTAATGCGTTTAAACTTTTAATCTATGTAAAGGAATTTTACATGTGTAACGTTAGTAATAGGCTTACTTTCTGTCCAGAGCGACGTTCAGCAGTTACGAGCCGTCAAGTGTTTTTAGAATCCATCAAGGAGAGAAGTAATCCATCAGGGAAACACTTCAGAAACATTATAAAGTGATAGTTGTACGTTTTATCCACATATTATTTCTCAAATACCGAAATAATTATTTACTGTTTTGGAAGCTGCGCTTGTTAGACGGTGGCAGCCATGTTGTTCTGTCGTCCAATCACAAATTGTGTTATTAGATGGTGAAACGCGTGTAAACAGCTGAACCAATGACTGTTGAGAAATAGCGGAGGCGATCCTCAGGGAGTAAATAATGACCAAGATAGTTATCTGTAGTTTACTGAACTAATGACTGATGTGTTTATCTAAAACCCGCGATCCGACCCGCATGTTATTTTTTCCACCCAGATCCGAACCCGGGAAAAAAACTTTTTTTTTTTAAACCATCCACAAATCAGCTGTTTTTGCGGGTACCCGACCCAGTGCAGGACTCTGCCCCAAAATTGCCTAACCCAACAGACTCTGTGCAACTCTATGAAATCACTTTTCTTGTGCTGCTTTCAGACACCTTTAGCAATTATTTAAACCTTTGAACTCTGGGCACATTGGTGCAATTTCTTTAAGAAACTTGTGGGAAAAGGCAACAAGCAACTTGGTAAGAATTGCGAAAAACAAAACAAAATAGATTTAGATTTTTTTAATTTATTTTTTTAATATA